CTTCAGATTAAATTTATTTCAATTTTCTTATTATAACTGTAAATTTATATTTTGGAAAGAAATATTTAGAACAAATTTTAAAATTTTTCGTACCTTTGGTTAAAGTTTTCGGTGGACTTGAATTCTTCACATTTCAACCAGAAGTTTAAATTTTCACAACTATACTCCTTAAAAATAAAAATAATATATGAAGGTAGATACAGGGTTACCTACAAAGGATGACACTTTAAAGACGACTGTAGGAGTTTTAGGTCGTCTTTACAATCTCATACTTACTAAATAACCCTGTACTTTGCTACGACAGAGGTAGGTAAATAGGTAGGTACGGGCTAAGAGGATTGAATGGGTAGCTAGGTATGGATCGGTAAAGGATTGGATGACGGGTAGCTACTATAGCCAGGTGGTACGGGTATAAGGATTGGAAGACTGGTAGCCACTATAGCCAGGTGGTACAGGTAGAAGGATTGGATGACGGGTAGCTTCTATAGCCATGTGGTACGGGTAGAAGGATTGGATGACGGGTAGATACTATAGCCAGGTGGCACGGGTTGAATGATTGGAAGACGGGTAGCTACTATAGCCAGGTTGTACAGGTAGATGGATTGGAAGACGGGTAGCTACTATAGCCAGGTGGTACGGGTAGAAGGATTGGATGACGGGTAGATACTGTAGCCAGGTTGTACAGGTAGATGGATTGGGAGACGGGTAGCTACTATAGCCATTTGTACCGGTAGATGGATTGGAAGACGGGTAGCTACTATAGCAAGGTGGTACAGGTAGAAGGATTGGAAGATGGGTAGCAACTAAAGCTATGTGGTACGGGTAGAAGGATTGGAAGATGGGTAGCTAATTTAGCTAGGTGGTAAGTTTAATAACTATCAAACTGCTTAACTAAAAGAATAGACTGATAGGAATTGCTCAAAAACTGACTGTGTGGAGCCTAAGAAATTTGTGAAAACATTTTTATCATTAATTCATATTGCGGTGTATGTAAACAATATCATAACATATATCTAATTGAAATTGAAATTGATCAATTGAAATATCACACACCGTAATTGATTTTGTATAAAAAAATTATTCATTATATAGTGATCTATCCTTTCTGAAAGGGGCGACTAGAGACGTAATTTCAAGTCGCTTTCTATTATTAGAGTGCATGGCATGTCCGATTCACAACGGTATCATTAACAGCTTTGTCTAATCAAGAATGCATGCTAAATTCATAATCTTTTCTCTGAAAATTGAATATTTCAATAACGGTTACTTTACATATTGGAAATTGTCATAATTAAATCAATTTTAAAACTTGAAAAAACGACGATATCTTCCACATCATTGATCAGATAAAGGTTTAAAGGTTGCGAATATTGGAAATGCCCCTGAAATGAGGTTACTTGAAATAATGATATAAAAACATGAAAGTATATGAAAATACCAGGTTCAATGTTTAAAAACTATGCAAATATTTAAAAACTATGCAAATATTTAAAAACTATGCAAATATTTAAAAGTTTACATTATCCTTATCATATAGAGGTCATGTGACTGACACAATACAAATATTTAATTAATTAAAATACTTATAATTTACAGTCGGCCTTTAAAACAGGACACACAGAGGCAGCTTATGGGGATGGGAAAAGTTGGAGGAGACGTCCACTCATCATGGAAAATTTGAGGGCGTAAATTTGGGGCGCAAATTAGGAGAAAAAAATTACATTTTTTCCCGGCCGTTTCAGGGATTCGATAAATATTTTCAATCGTCCCCCAGCCCTGGAAAATATCATTTGACTGTTTCAAACATTTTAAGATAAAGTGAAAAATTTCAAAAAAACCAAGTTATTAAAGTGTAAAGTGCAGTATAGTGGAATCCAGTTTGATGTTTATCTTACTTAATTTTCGTGTAAAGATTGAGATTATAGAAATTTACAGAGCAACGCCAACAACGTGGGCAACTGATGAAATTTATTTGATCTCAATTCATAAAATTCATCTTGAGATATAATTCAACACATCACAAAAATGTCCGCCCTCCCATTAAAATCACCACAGTTGCGCCTCTATTTTCTATTAGAGCCCATCGGGTTTTTTATCTCCAAAAAAAATCACCTGTTTCAAGAATTGTTTGAAGATCTGACATTTAGAACAATTATTCAGGATTTCAGTCAGATCTTCTGTCAGATTTCTTAATCTCATATTGGTCAAATTGGTTTCCTTTTCATTGTAGCTTTCATTCGTTCCCTGGCTTCTTCTCCTTCCTCCAAGCATTTTCTTCATTATCTATCTATATATATATATATATATATATAGATAGATAATGAAGAAAATATATATATATATATATATACTTTGCTTCGCTGGCTGTCTGTCTGTTTGTGTAAAACGTCTAAACTGCTGAACCGATCGGACCCACATTTTTTGTGGGACCTCGCGTGACCTCAGGAAATGTAGATAGATGATAAAAATAGATGATAAAAATTTCAAAATGTTGCCTTTAACAAAATTTGATCTTTCAAAATTTTAAAAATCCATGATTTTTTGCTTGTTTTTGTTTTACAATGTATTCAAAGAGAACATGTACAGTGTTCACGATTGAAGTAGAAGATGGGCGCGAAGCGCCCTTAAAGCCTAGTAGGCAACTAAATACTTGCCTCACACTATTTATTTCTAATTATTTGCAACCAGAATGTGCAAACCTTTGTTATCTCAAATTGTGATTTTACAGAATATTATAGTTTAAATATCTACCACACCAAGTGCCTAGAAATTAAATTTTTACGCTTCATGGCATATACTAATAAACTTTATTATTTCTAAAAGAATTGAGTATTTGCCACAAACCAAAATTTTCTAATCCTTACATCTTTGCATTTTGATGGTGTTGTTAACCTTCGATATTTCAAACATAGACTATTGGACCTAACAGAATTCATAGTTTCAAATATCTACGGTCTACGGCCTCGGATTGCGAAGATAAAAGGAATAGAAAATCAGAGTTTGTGGCAAACACTCAATTCCTTTTAGTTTTTTGGTGAAGAAGAAACGGTGTATTTTGATATTTACTCATACTTTTAACAACAAAACTAGAAACCACGTATTCTGGGAACTTAATGGGAAAATACTGCTGGAACGTTACACTATAAAATTCGATTATTATTGCCAATACTTCTGAAGCTCCATGTAAACCGCTGAAAAAAGAACCTTTTTCTTTCAACCACAAAAAATGGAAAGTTTTATATCCTTTAACTTTTTTTAGTTTAACTGGGAATACAATTTCAAAAATACAAAAAAATGTTCAAATTATTTTTAGCCTGAGTTCCTATAAAAAATTTCAGCACATTCGGTCCAGCCGTTTGGCCAGCTATAGCTGAGATATGTATAAATATATATATGAACGAAGAGCTTTATTATATGTATATATTTTTCCTTTATCTGTCAGAAATACTGTTTTTTTTTCAAAATTATTTTTCCTTCAATGTTTACTATATTATAAAATTGTGTATATTGTATAGTGCGTATTCAATTTTGGATGTTTTGATTTAATATAAAACTTTTGTGCCTTCAACTGCTGGAAACACTAACTTTTTATAAACTTTTTTCCATCAATTGCTAGTTTTCAATCCATCACTGTGACATTGAAATTATTTACATATTTTTTCCAAATAAAAAGTGTTATTCCACCGGTTTAAAAAACAGATTATATAAAAAGATTATGTTTCCAGAGTCTAAAACTAAAGAATGCGCGAATTTTAAGTTCGAGGTTAAAAGTTCTGTAAAATAATGAAAAGCTACTTAAATATTAAACTTTCTCAATTTTAAATTTGAATTTCCCGGGAAAAATCTGAACCAATCAGAGAAAAGGATTTACGGAGAATATTACATAACCATCGCTAATCAGCTGTTCTTACGTAACCGAAAACAAAACATACAACCGTTTTTTGAGTTTACATGCAAAAATTAATTTATCTAAAACGTGAAATTTCTTTAACAAGGTTTTCACTTTTAAATATATCGTTAAGTTGAATGCCGCTTTCTCAGCTGCAGCTGAATGATGATTGAATAATAGACAAATAGGGAAAATGCAGGATTTCAAGATTTTAAACCTGTGTTTAAATTTTAACTCGTCGATTTCGGCGAGTTAAATATTTAACCACAGGGTTAAAGTTCAGGTTTAAATTAAGTCAGAAGTGGCATTTAACCATGAACTTAAAATTTAAGTCAAAACTTTTCGTTCTTTAGTTTCAGACTCTGTTGATCTAAATAGAAGTGGCTAAATTATCACTTTTTCATATTTTAGTCTAAACATTTTCATTCAAAAGTTCACTAGTTCAGAACCAACTGAGCTTCAATTAACAAACTCACCCCCCCCCCTCACACTTAAGATTTCACCAAAATTTGATAATGAAACAGATAAATTTTCTTTGTGAACTTGATAATGTTAAATTATATAAAATGATATTGATAAAGTAAATTCTATAATATATTTTATCTAGGAAAGATCTTCAAAATCCTTAAAAATCACTTTTTCTTGAAATATAATATCTGAATTTTAGTGAAATCCAGTTCGTAAGCAAAACATATGCAGAAACAAAAATTTCTCGAAATATGACAAATTATTCATATTGACCAAACAACCAAAATGTGTATTCAAGAAAAACTAGGTGGTAGAGCAAAATTCTATGATTTTTTTGGCGAAATTTGTTCAATCTGTTTCCTATTAGTATAGGCTTTCCAAAGATATATTTAAAGTTGAAATTCAATGACAGGAAGTATGTGGAAAAACATAGATTTAGATTGGTATGGATAAAACAAGGCATTCAGCCTTTAGTTAAGAAGCCTTGTCTGCAAAAATACATCACACTTCAAGAAACATGTATCCAAAGTAATCTTCAGGATAGATATGATCTAGAAAAGTTTGCTAGCCCTTTGCCAGAGCCTAGCAAATGATATTGATTGAGAACATTCATAAAAAATTGTTTTTAACATTTATTTCATCTTTATAAAAGAGATGATATTTCTATATGAGTTTACATGCCAGTGTTAGACATGATCCAGTCAAGGTAGTATTCAGTCCTGGAGAATCCTGCTGGGTAACCAACCTCACATCCTGCACTGGATCCAAAGCTGACGACTCCAACCTTAAGATGAAAATATAGAAATATAGAAATATTCACAAAAAAATTATTGATCAAAAGTTTGTATATACCTGTGTCCATGCAGTTCCAGCAGCCTTAGCTCCTGACTTCATGATCAGAGGGCCACCAGAGTCTCCCTAAATTATGAGTAAATATATCAATGAGAACAGACTTGTTCAGATATCTGATTCAATAAGTTACTTACATTGCAAGATCCCTTTCCTCCGGTGGTGTCAATGCAGACAATACCGTCTCCAACAATTCCATAGTAAGAGTTGCATTCAGAATTAGAGATGATTGGCAGGTCAGAGACCATTCTGAGGACTGGGGAGATTCCACCAGCAGAGTCAGAAGGCTTTCCCCATCCAGTCACAGTGACAAGCTCTTCCTCATCAGCAGTGTCTCCACTGGTAGGCAGGCAGCTGGGCTTAATCCAATCATTGAATTCAATTGGACTTGGGAGCTCAATGAGAGCAATATCATTGGCCAGTGTGTTGTAATCCCAGTTGGGGTGGGTAAATCCATTGTAAGAGGTGATCTCCTGTCTGTGAGGTTCACTGGATGCTCTAACATTGTGAGCTCCGGCCATGATGTCAAAGTAGGAAGCTCCATCAACACAGTGAGCAGCAGTCAGAACATAGTTCTCAGAGATCAGGGATCCTCCGCAGAACCAAGCATCATCTACAAAGAGAGCTACTTGCCATGGCCACTGGTTTTCTGCTGCTTCTTCTCCTCCAACAATCTTGTCCATAGCCGGGGGTCCTTCAATTCCGCATTCAGCCATCAGGTCATATTTGGAGGGCTTGACAATTCTCTGCTGGGCAATGAGATCCTTGGCAGCCCTAGAGAGTGTAAAAATTATAAATTAAATAATGTGAAAAAAATCAGATATTTATTGCACTTACTTGGTCATCTTGATCATATGTTCCTCCCATGTGGTCTGAGTGGTGTCCTTGGGGTACATGGCATGTCTAGGTTTGAACTTGGAGAAGTCCCTTGGCTTTGAAGTACGCCAGTGTTCTTCAGGGCGAAGTCTGCGACCATTGGGGACAGCCTGAAGTAAAAGTTGAGAATAGCTATTGCTAAACTTATGTTTATTTTCATTTAAAGTAAATTAAAGGAGGATGGTAAGGAGTAGAATTTTGTGGGCAGGACATGAATTGGATTAGTTAAAGAAACAGAAATATGTAGTCAGATATTTAAAGAAAATTATTCTTGCTAGTTAAATTGGAGAAAGTAAAAAATTAACTTACAAGTACTGCTGTTGCACAGAGAGCTGCAATGATAAGAACCTTCATGTTGAGAAGATTCTCAGGAGTAACTGTATGTTCAAGAAATTGTGTCTTTTATAATGAGTGTTATCTTTCCCCTTGACGTCTGATTTATCTAATTTACTTTTATAAGGTTCACTTGGTAAGCGTTTTGAAGTTCTTAGAGTTACACTTTTGAATTTGAGAACAAAAGCTTTCTTAAAGGTTTACATAAGATTTTAGGGCCAAGTGGAAGGTAACAGATCTAATAGAATCCAATCTAATAATTCATCTTTCTGCTGAAAAAATAACAGAAAAAGCAAATAAGTTAAAAATAGGTGTTCATTTAATTCTCAGCAGAGAAAAAAATTGTTTTTCAGAGGTTTCAACTGAACAGCGTAAATTTAATACTTTAGAATATGCTAAGAAGAAAGGAACTATGGAATTCAAATAACTTTTCTTTAAAAATTAGACCAGAACTAAAAATTGCGAATTTTCTTATTACAATTTTGCAAATTTTTGTGATTCTTTGATTCAATCTTTAAAAAATTTTTGATTTCGATAGAAATAATTTATATACACATTTTTGCTTTTCTGAACTTTTGATTTTGAGAGAAAAAAAGGTTGGCGGATTTTCTTTTGGGCCATTGGAGTACCAAAAAATTTCAAATTTTCAAAAAATATATAAAAACACATACAGGAGAGTTGCACAAAAAAAGGACAATTTTGCACCCTGTATATATATGTTATTACAATGAAAAAAGTAAAAATACATAAATTATAAAGAAATATCATAAATTTCCAAAGTGCAATGAAAAATAAAATTATTGGAAAAATAATGCTATTTGTGACGGTTCCTGGAATTTTCAAATATACAGATGAATTGACATCATGAAAGTTAGTAATATGTTCTAAAATCCAGACCACTAGACAACTACAATAAAGGAATTTAATGATTTCCATTTATTTTTACAAAAATATTAATGAAGTTTAACAATTAAATTCCATTTACTTAGACGGAACTAACATATATCAAGGGTTTATACTAAATGAAAACATTTTTTTGAACAATTCTACCTCTGATTAAATAAAGTAAAATGTAAGGGACTGTAAATGTAATTTCTATTCACTATGGTATCCTTAAAAGCTTTGTTATCAAGAATAAATTAGCTTTCAATGATTCCCTTTTTTAAATTTGAAATGTATTTTTTTCCATTTGGGTTTTCTTAAAAAATTACTTGTGTATTTCTATTTAGAGAAACAATATGGTTTAATTTAAAATTTGGGGATGGTGATGGAACAAACCTCTGCAGGGTAAAAAAGTAGATGTTAGTTCCACATTTATTGAAAAAATAATTCAATAAATAATTTTCAGTATCAAACACTTTTTAATTTAGAACATTGAAAATATCTTTCCCATTGTTGATCAGATAAATAGGTTCTAATGGCTCAGTTACATTTGCCATGATACTTTTGCCATAGTTACACTTGCCATAATAGGTTTGCCATAAGTAACACTTGACATAGGTTACACTTGGTTAAGTTACACTTGCCATAATTACAATTAATCATAGTTATAAATAACATACATACATTTTTTTTATTGAACAACTACAATTATAACTTTTGTGACTACAATTAACAAATCTAAATGAGGGCAGCTCATGAGCAGTAAGGTTAAGCTACCATGCTTTATTGGAAAAGTATTGTATTGTCACCAAGCTCTTTCTTTCAGTAATAATGTTCATATCTCTCCTGGCAGCATTGTAGGAAAACTAAGGTTGGGAATTTTCATGGGTACACTCTAAAAAATGCAATTTTGGTCTTTAGCATCAGGCATCAAAGTTCTTCTTTCATATTTCAAATTTCTTCTTTCATTACTCAAATTTTGTTAAATATTTTCCAAATTTACAATCTAACAAAACTTGTTAATAGCTTACACATTGTTCTCTCAGCATGTGTCAAACTTTGTTATATGACATCTTTCTTTTGTCATGTGATTTAGTTTGTGTAAGATTAAACAAATTTTGATTTATGATCAATCAAACGTTGAACCACGTTCCGGAAATTTCCGGAATTCCGTAACGATCCGTAATTCCGGAACAACATTCCTGAAATTTCCGTTTTACGGAAAAAAATTGTTCCGGAATTCCGGTTTTTCTGGAACCTTTTCCATAATGGAAATGGAATAAATTTCCAGATCATTTCCGTACGTAAACCGTAACCCGGAATTCCAGTGGAAACCCTAATCGACATGAAACAAACTTTGTGAGATGATAATTATATGGAGGCGCGGCACAGCGAGCGGACAAACACCGGTTGATAGATCATGAAGCAAACTTTGAATTAAGGCGACTGAAAATACGTTCAACAAAATTTGACGAATGATTCTACTAAGGTGTGTTTGAGTCCGGTGCTCTAACAAATTTTGTTAGATGAAAATTTGAAATTTCTTAGAGTGTAGATTTAGCGCATATGTAGAGAAAATAGTTTGATTTATAACTTTGTAAAAGTTAGAAAATTATGGCAAAAGTAATTATGGCAAGTTTAACTAATGGCAAAAGTATTTATGGGAAGTGTAATTATGGCAAGTGTAATTATGGCAAATGCATTTATGGCAAAAGCATTATGGCAAATGTAACTGAACCATTTAAATCCCCTTTATACATGGAGGGTCACTTAAAATTACAATGATAGTTTAGTTAAACAATATACAATTGTTAATGGACCTAAAAAAATAAGGCAGACATTGCATAGGGCTAGATTTATTTAATCAATAAAACTTTATCATGCATCAAACCTCAGAAGATATATTCATGGAAAATCACATGCCATTGTTGCTCATAATCCATTCAAGGTAGTTTTCAGTCCTTGAGAATCCTGCAGGATATCCTAGCTCACAACCTGCACTGAACTCATAACTAAGAACACCAACCTAGGAAGCTTTACTTTTAAAATCAAAACATAGAAAAAAGTTCCAATTTTACCAAAACCTACCTGTATCCATTTTGTGCCTGGAACCCTACTCTCAGATTTCATGACCAGAGGCCCTCCAGAGTCCCCCTAGGATATGCATAAAAATAATATACATGCAGAAATGAAAAAGAGTGTCTTACTTGGCAGGATCCCTTTCCTTCAGAAGTATCAAAGCAACCAAAGCCTTCTCCTACAGTGCCATAATAAGAAAAACATTGATCGTTAGATATAATTGGCAAATCAAATACAACCCTGAGAACGGGAGAGATTCCACTTGAAGGATCAGAGGGTTTTCCCCATCCAGTCACTGTAACAAGCTCTCCCTCATCAGCAATGCCTCCGATGGCTGGAAGACAGCTAGGTTTGATCCAATCATTGAATTCGATTGGACTTGGTAGCTCAATTAGAGCAATGTCATTGGCAAGAGTGTTGGGATCCCAATCAGGGTGAGAAAATCCATAAAAGGATGTAATTTCCACTCTGTGAGGTTCACTGTAGTTCTGTATATTATGAGCTCCAGCAACAATGTCAAAAGAAGAAGCTCCATCAACACAGTGAGCAGCTGTAAGAACATAGTTCTCAGAGATTAGGGATCCTCCACAGAACCAAGCATCATCTATAAAGAGGGCTATTTGCCATGGCCACTGGTTTTCTGCTGCTTCTACTCCTCCAACAATCTTGTTCATAGCGGGGGGTCCTTCAATTCCACATTCAGCCATCAGGTCATATTTGGAGGGCTTGACAATTCTCTCCTCTGCAGTCACATCTTTTGCACCCCTGCAGATAAGTAGTGAATGAGCTTTAATAATCTTTTATAATCTTTTTACTTGTACAACTTCAACATTTTTTAAAGTAGTACTTGAAGAGAATTTTTCCTTGTTATAATCCTCATTGGCTGCCTATTGTCAACTTTATGTATTAGATGTGAACAGATTTGGGAGATTTGTGTCTGTGGGTCCACATAAGCACAACTTGTTAACATTTATGGAACAATCCTTTTCCCAAGAAATTAAGCATATCCACAACCTCAAGTTTCAAGAAACAAATTTTAAGATATATTATCATGTGATTTCAGAAAAAATATAAAAATATTCTTTGTATTATTCTTTTTATTTATAAAGATTAGTGATTGACCATGACCCCCGCTGTAATTAAAAATTCATAAACTTGCCTAGTTCTGTCTTCCAAGTTCATAGTATGCCGGGGTCTAAACTTTGAGAGATCTCTTGGCTTAGGAACATGCCATTGCTCTTCAGGGTGAAGTACTCGTTCCTTTTTATCCACCTAATGAAAATCTAATGAATTAATGGAGATGTTTATTGGAGACTTTTTTGTGGACAATTTTAAATGGCCGAATTATATCTGTTTATGAAACCAATACATTATTCTTCATACTAGTCTTTGGATTATTAAGATCTTGATTAATGATGATTTTAAGATGATTAAGTGTGTTAAATGTATAATTATGAGATCTTAAATATTTGAAGAAAGGACAAATCTCACTATAGTCCATTTAATGAAAGTTAATTTCAGTTTAAAGCCCCCTGCAAAAAAACACTTAACTTTATAATTACATTTATAACAAGCCAAAGTGCTTCCACAAGAGTAAACTTACATAACAAGATGCTGCCACCAAAAGTAAACAAAAAGCAAGAAGTTTCATCGTTGAAAGATTCTTGTAAATGAGGCATATCTGACTGACCCTGGCTCTATATTGTCAGTGCTATCTCTCTGTCTGACGTGTGTACAATTATAAATTCTTACAATCTGCTAAGCCATTCAGGGATTTCAATTCTGTTTTTTGACAAGTAATTTTTATTGTGTATTGTTTGTACTTAGTGTCTTGCATTTTATGCTTGAAACATTCCATGTTTTTAATCTTTCATGTCATTGTAACATTTGCACAATCATGTTACATTTGTTTCTATATTTTAAATGAATAAAAATATCTAAATCTTAAAATTTCATTGCAAATTTCAGTAGTTAAGGGATGGAAGAAATACTCCATTACACATTATAAAAACAAAACCTTTTTATGTCTACAGATACTATATTTCCTTCTCTCTTTGAACACCAGTATTTAAAATTTGTTTAGATTGATGATAAGAAAGAGTGCTATAAAGGATACCTCAATGTTTTTAAAGTAACATAAATTAAAATGTAAAAATGTTATTAGAAAAAAAACATAGTCACTATCTTAACCATAACAATAAACTAGTTTTAAAAATAACTGTCCATATTATAACTTCAGTAAAAGTTTTTGTATTTATTTCATCTAAATCAAACAGTTGAGATGAGATTTCTATTTCAAAATTTACATGCCAGTGTTAGACATGATCCAGTCAAGGTAGTATTCAGTCCTGGAGAATCCTGCGGGGTAACCAACCTCACATCCTGCACTGGATCCAAAGCTGACGACTCCAACCTTAAGATGGAAAAATGTAAATATAGAAATATTCACTAAAAAATTATTGATCAAAAGATTGTATATACCTGTGTCCATGCAGTTCCAGCAGCCTTAGCTCCTGACTTCATGATCAGAGGGCCACCAGAGTCTCCCTAAATTATGAGTAAATGTATTAATGAGAACAGACTTGTTCAGATATCTGATTCAATAAGTTACTTACATTGCAAGATCCCTTTCCTCCGGTGGTGTCAATGCAGACAATACCGTCTCCAACAATTCCATAGTAAGAGTTGCATTCAGAATTAGAGATGATTGGCAGGTCAGAGACCATTCTGAGGACTGGGGAAATTCCACCAGCAGAGTCAGAAGGCTTTCCCCATCCAGTCACAGTGACAAGCTCTTCCTCATCAGCAGTGTCTCCACTGGTAGGCAGGCAGCTGGGCTTAATCCAATCATTGAATTCAATTGGACTTGGGAGCTCAATGAGAGCAATGTCATTGGCCAGTGTGTTGTAATCCCAGTTGGGGTGGGTAAATCCATTGTAAGAGGTGATCTCCTGTCTGTGAGGTTCACTGGATTCTCTAACATTGTGAGCTCCGGCCATGATGTCAAAGTAGGAAGCTCCATCAACACAGTGAGCAGCAGTCAGAACATAGTTCTCAGAGATCAGGGATCCTCCGCAGAACCAAGCATCATCTACAAAGAGAGCTACTTGCCATGGCCACTGGTTTTCTGCTGCTTCTTCTCCTCCAACAATCTTGTCCATAGCCGGGGGTCCTTCAATTCCGCATTCAGCCATCAGGTCATATTTGGAGGGCTTGACAATTCTCTGCTGGGCAATGAGATCCTTGGCAGCCCTAGAGAGTGTAAAAAATAAAAATTTAATAATGTGAAAAAATCAGATATTTATTGCACTTACTTGGTCATCTTGATCATATGTTCCTCCCATGTGGTCTGAGTGGTGTCCTTGGGATACATGGCATGTCTTGGCTTGAACTTGGAGAAGTCCCTTGGCTTTGAAGTACGCCAGTGTTCCTCAGGGCGAAGTCTGCGTCCATTAGGGACTGCCTTAAAGGTTTTTTTTTATTTAACTATTAATTCATTTAGTTCAAATGCAAATATATATTTTCCAATCTTACAATTCAATTTAGACTTACCAGGACTGCTGTTGCACAAAGAGCTGCAATGAAAAGAACCTTCATTGTGAGAAGATTCTTCAGGAATATGTTTTAACAGATTTGTGGACTATTTATTTGAATCCTTATCTCCAAAATTGTTTTTAAAAATTGTCAAGATTATCATGACATGTTTAATAGACAAAAGATAGACTTTACAGGGTGTGAAATAAACCTGTAGGACCAACCACTCATGCTCTCAATAATAAGGACCCACTTTTAGTCAAAGGTTTATATATCAGCAGATTTTCAATATTTTTGTTAACGATTTTAACTATGATGAATTTCATGATATAATTTGTTTTTTTTTATGTACTTACTAACACGTGATATTCTATATTTACATATGTTCCTCGTTTATATTATGTCTTTTTCTTAATTTATCGTACCACTTTTTGTGTGCGAAATAAACTTTAATATTAATAATATTATAGGGATTAGAAAACTTTTGTTTTCTTCATGATTTGGCATACATATTTGCTAATTACATTAATTTTACAGACACATTATTTGCACTTTTTAAATCTTAAGATTTTTCATAAAGATGAAATTACAGATCCATCGCTAAATTTACAATTAAGTTACACCTATGAGTGATATTCTTGAGCAGTTTTTTAAAATGTGTCATTAATTTTAAAGTATAAGAACATTTTTAGAAGTAAAAATTGTACCAAAATTTGTTGTTCTCTATTTACAATTAAAAAATGTTTTTTTTGTTAATTTGTTTTAGATTGATTGTAATATTGTTACAACCTGTGCTATGTAATTAAAGATAAAAATGTTTGTACAATTGCGTAAATATTATAAAGATTTAAAAACATCACTAATGTTTGCCTCTCAAAATTTAACCACAATAAAATATTCAAATAATAAAATCATAATTTTTAGGTAATAATCCTTAAATTATGCGCCCCTTTTAAGATTTCCTGTCATCCTAAGCTGGCAATATTTAAATTGATTGATTATATTCGATTTATTTGATTTTGTAATTTAAAGTACAAATACATTAGGAGCAAAAAGTACGGATTACTCTTTTCATATTACCTCTTAGTTTTCTCTTCCCTTACATTATTCATGTCAAAACTTAGATTAAAGTATATAGGATTTAATAGGAATTAACTTTATATCATATTCAAAGATATAGGGATTGACAAATCGGAGTTTGAGGCAAGTGTTTGTTTTTTCAAATTTTTTTTTTAACAATTTTTTTTCTAATTTTTTTTCCGCGAGCAACGCCGGATCCTTCAGCCAGCGAAGAGTTAAATACACAGGGGTGGATACGAGATTTAGATTTTTTTTAAAGATAGATATTTTTTTCTGTTTTGCAGAAAAAGCAATTCTTAATCCGTTGGGGGGGAAAGGTTCTGCCCCCCCCCTGTATCTGCCCCTGTATATAGATGTAGTTAATGCGCTAAAAGGGAAATGTTAATAAAACTGTTATTTCAAATAACTCTCCTTTTTAAAGAGACGAATGAATGTACGCTTCACAATGGTAACATATATTCTGATCAATTATGTGTAACATTAGCAATTCAATTTTAGAGGGAAACCATAATAAATTTTCGAAGTTAAAAACATGAATATCTCTTCCATTCTTGATCAGACAAAGAATCGGACATGCCACATTATAATAGAATGGTCATTTGAAATGATGTCTTTAATCCCTATAAAATATAATGACACTTCTTTGTTTCTTCCATGAGGAGGGAGGGGGTTACAATTTGAAACAACTGAAGTAGAATGAAAAATGTAGATGCTATAAAAGATACTTTTTTATTAAAACCTTCCTTGGGTTGAGTATGTATTCCCCTTAACAATTATCCCCCCCCCTTTCTACAATTATCCCCCCCGGCCCCCTTTCTACAAATCTGTACTTTCTCAAATCTGTGAAGAGATCCTTTACTTTCCCAGCTTTCTACTTTCTCTAGACCAGTGTATACTGATATACTGTGTAGTGTATATACAGATATACAGTGTAGTGTATATACAGATATACTGTGTAGTGTATATACAGATATACAGTGTAGTGTATATACAGATATACTGTGTAGTGTATATACAGATATACAGTGTAGTGTATATACAGATATACAGTGTAGTATATATACAGTTATAACTTGTAGTAAATATACAGATATACAGTGTTGTAGTGTATATACAGATATACAGTGTAGTATATATACAGTTTTAACTTGTAGTATATTTACAGATATACAGTGTAGTATATATACAGATATACAGTGTAGTGTATACAGATATACAGTGTAGTATATATACAGATATACAGTGTAATGCATATACAGATATACAGTGTAGTGTTTATACAAATATATTTAGCTTAGTATACACATATACAGATAAACAGTGTAGTGTGTGTACAGATATACAGTGTAGTGTATATACAGATATACCCTGTAGAATATGCACAGATATACAGTGTAGTGTATATGCAGATATATAGTGTAGTGTATATCAGATATATAGTGTAGTGTATATCAGATATATAGTGTAGTGTATATCAGACATACAGTGTAGTATATATACAGATATACAATGTGTGTATATACAGATATACAGCGTAGTGTATGTACAGATATACAGTGTAGTCTATATACAAATATACAGTGTAGTATATATACAGATATACAGTGTAGTGCATATACAGATATACAGTGTAGTGTATATACAGATATGCAGAGTAGTGTATGTACAGATATACAGTTGTTGACGGAAAACAGCACCACGCTAGACAAATCAAGATAACAGGCCAGTTAGGATTCTGGTGGGGGATGTTTATTTTCCCGGAAAATTCTTTCCCGATAGGCCGCACGAATACACACAACAGAGTAACCCCGTCTCAGAAATTCGATAACAAAATCTTTATTTCCTAAAAAATAACATAAATTATAGGTCATGTTTACTTGTACAATGTTATAATGAATATTAATAGTAGAAAAATTCTTACGAATTATTTAAGGATGGTCGGGGGTGACTTATTGTTGATCAGTATTGAAATACGTTTTTTTAACTTCTGAAAAATTACAGTTGAATATTTAACGAAATTCACTAATGCTTCTTATGAAAATATTTTGCTTAACTTTAATGATTTCACAACAACGAAAATATTTTAAGCTCCGTCGGAGGAGGACAAAGGGAATTGCGGGCTGAAAATTTGGTTTGGCTGTATCCAACAGGAGACTCAAGTTGAAGACGACATTTTATAGAGGTTTTAAATTAATGGTTAACAACAGTGTAGTGTATATGTTATAAATACAGCAATCCCCATATTGGTTAACCTGAACATATCTAGATATATTACGTTGTACATTGTCTGTAAATCCAAATGTGCTTATTATTAACTACGCAAATCTTGTATTGCGATAAGCCTAGCCTAGCTACGTCTGTAAATCCATCAACACCTGTATTTTGACGTATAACTCTATCAAATCCATATTGTGAGTCAGCTCAACTGCGTTATATATGACGATGCATATTTGTAATTGTAATTATGTCTGTTAATGCATAATCTTTAATGTAGAACCCAAATATATTTAGTTGATATAGAGACTCCGCTTTGATTACTGCGAGAGAGTAATTTGGTCCTCGTTGAAACATACAAGCTGAGATCGTGCCCATTGTTTTGACATTAATACAAGCTAGTGTTAGGTTGACATCGATAGCTCATGAGATTGTGCCCATTGTTTTGGTATTGATGGATTACTAGCTAGTGTCCGTGTTGAAATTGATAGCTGACATGATTGCGCCCATTGGTTTGGCATTGATAGAATACTAGCTAGTGTCTGTTTGACATTGATAGCTCATGAGAATGTGCCCATTGGTTTGGCATTGATCAATTACTAGCTAGTGTCCATGTTGACATCAGTAGCTGACAAGATTGTGCTCGTTAGTTTGGCATTGCTAGTTTACAAGCTTGTGTCCAGGTTTAGACATATTGGCAGCAAAGTGAAACTGAGTTGTACCTGGATAGATACGGGCTTGAGGAACACTTATGGAGTAAGGCATTTACTACATATACAGATATACAGTGTAGTGTATATACAGATATATAGTTTAGTATATATACAGATATAAAGTGTAATGTATATACAGATATACAGTGTAGTGTATATACAGGTATACAGTGTAGTTTATATATATATAAATACAGTACAGTGTATATAAAGATATACAATGTAGTGTATATACATATATTCAGTGTAGTGTTTATTCAGATATACAGTGTAGTGTATATACAGATATAAAGTGTATTTAATTTGGTATCGAAAGAAAAAAAATCTATAATTTCTAACAATCTGAAACCTAAAAATACAAAACTGTGAATACTGCATGTATGTACATTGTACATTGTAAATATAAAGATTTACACAGTGTTGTGCATTAATAATCTCAGCTCAGCATTTATGAGAAAATTTATTTCTATTACTCATCTATATATATTTTTTTCAGATAAAAATACATTTACTAACTTTACTTATAAAAATGAGACCTAATTCTAATGAATTCTACCAACTAACATCTACTAACACTGCCCCATATGGTGTCTTCACAAATAACTCCACTAACCCTCCTACAGAAACCGGTTCCTGGACAGCCAGGTAACACATGGGTTTAACCATCACGCATTTTCAGAAGATGGCGACCAGTGTCGAGGGGTTGCCCCTGGGACAAGACAGGTTTGGGGATATATATAACAATGATCCCGGGGTATATGAACCGGAATGTGATTGGAACGAGGACCAGGGTGGGTATCCAGATACTCAGCAGTTTCTGGAACAGTTCCAGGCAATGCAGGAGGAACAGAAGAAGACAGAACTTTTGGAGGCACAACAGGAAGCAACCACTCAAATCTAAGTCTAATTATGAGGAAAAATTAACCACAATTATTGAACTTTAAATGGCATTCATCAATCATAGCATAACAAACTGCAATTATATTACGCCTAATGTACAACAAACCGCAATCATCTTACAACAAACTGCAAAATCATGGTATGACAAACCGCAATCATGATACAACAAACCACAATCATGGGTACAAAAAATTAAAATCATGGTACAACAGACCACAATCATGGTAAAACAAATCACAATCATGGTACAACAAACCAAAATCATGATTGCAACAAATCAAAATCGTGGTATGACAAACCACAAGCACGGTACAACAAACCACAAGCATGGTATAACAAACCGCAATCAAGGTATGAAAAACCTCAATCATGGTGCGACAAACCACAATCATGGTTTAAGAAACCGCCATTATATTACAACAAACTGAAATCATGGCTAAACAAACTGCAATCAATTCATAACACATTGGATTTACGGTGTAACAAACTCTAATCTATAATTTAAGAAACTATAAACTGATGTTTGAGTGAACGGGGTACAGGCGGCAGAATCAGCTGCAGCAGAAATAGCAAACCTACCTTTAAAAGGAGATTATCAGGGTCTAGGGGGACCTCAGGAAAACATTAAATCTTCTTTATTAAATCATTCAGCACCAAACTAATTTAGTAAAACTTGGGAAACAAACCCTGAAGTCCAAAGTCATTGAAACCACTATAACCCATGGATGTCAAAAACAATAAAGAGTAAAATAAAAAACAAGATTTATATGTTGAAGAGCGTCCCCCTGTACTCGCCGAAAGCATTTGAAAGACCAGAGCAGTTGCCCCAGGTTCCGTTCAATTAACTAATATAGCAACAAATCAATCAATCAACAAGTCAATCAATCAATTATTTAATCAATAAATCAAATTAAACGAATCAAAAATTTAATTGGTGACATTTATTTGATATCTTAACTTGCGAAACATTTATTAAATTTAGTTTTCTGACAAAAACTACTAAATTGAATCTTTTAAAACTTTTGTTTTTAAAGGGTGCCTCCATCTTATCTGAAATATTCATGGAACCAACTGTAGATCAGATTAAGGCGTACAAGAGGGTCATCATCAAAGGAAAAGTGTACGTACTGTATGCAATGTGTGTGATAAGAAATATTTATGCTGCAAAGTTAAGATGTCAGACTCTGTAATCTTTTTTAATACTAATTTTGCTTAGTATATGAATATATGTATGGGGGAGAGGGGAGGGGGTTTCTTGCTTGTAGCAAAATTATTCATAGGCCAGCATTTTAAATGGTTATCGTTTTTGACAAATGCTAGGACGCCACACTTGCTTTTAAATTAAGTTGTCAAAAAATGTCCAAACATGTAAATTTTAAATCTGAACCTAAATTGGTGAAATGTTTTTTAGAAATTCTGAAAGCGAATTAAGATTATAATTTGAGTCTGTTGTAGGCCTAGTCTGCTGTAGGCCTAGTCTGTTGTAGGCCTAGTCTGTTGTAGGCCTAGTCTGTTGTAGGCCTAGTCTGCTGTAGGCCTAGTCTGTTGTAGGCCTAGTCTGTTGTAGGCCTAGTCTGTTGTAGGCCTAGTCTATTTTAGGCCTAGTCTGTTGTAGGCCTAGTCTGCTGTATGCCTAGTATGTAGGCCTAGTCTGTTGTAGGCCTAGTCTGCTGTAGGCCTAGTCTGCTGTAGGCCTAGTCTGTTGTAGGCCTAGTCTGCTGTAGGCCTACTTTGTTGTAGGCCTATTTTGTTGTAGGCCTAGTCTGTTGTAGGCCTAGTCTGTTGTAGGCCTAGTCTGTTGTAGGCCTAGTCTGTTGTAGGCCTAGTCTGCTGTAGGCCTAGTCTGTTGTAGAACTAGTCTGTTGCCATTTAAAAATTCTATTATACATAGTTCTCTCTTTCTCTCTCTCTCTCTCTCTATATATATATTCTTTTTTTGTAACTGTATGATATAATGGATTTACAGAATTTCTCAAGCTAACAGCTAATAATAAATGTGTTTTGAAACTTAGTGACTAGCGAGACTAACAATTGATGTTTTCCATGTGTGAAGAGTGTTTGCTTAATTTTGCAATAAATCTCACTTTTTTTCGACATTTCTAACATAGTTTTTATATATTTATTGTTGGGAACAATTGTAATTAAAAAAAGAAAATATAAACATTGTTTTTACTTCTAATAGTTTGCCCTGAGCTGAAAACTTTAGAATAAGATATCCTTAATCCCGATTACTTAATCTGAATATCCAATGGACACCCTTTTGATTTTCTTCTTAAACTTTTCTTTCTTTGATATAATAGAGAAAAATCAAAAACCGGTTTTTTAAAATTGGGACACTTCAAAGTTGACCCTGTCTTAGAAATTGATGAGACTATGAGACTGTTTATAAGCAGGTTAAATCTATGTGGTATACGTGCCCACAAGGCGTAAAATGATTTAAAATTTTCTTTGTAAAATGTGAAGCAGTGTATATACTTAACTCACAATTCATTGATCTTTAATAAACTTCTAAAATTTCTTAAAGGTATCATCTTTCGCCTAAATCAGCAGGACTTTTAAAAATTGCAATTTCAATGCACTAAATTTATCATTTAAAAATGTAATAACTGCCGGAGGACTCAAATGCCGTGGCATGGAATACGGTACGGGTGTGGCTCATGGCTGCCAGAAGACAAAAAATATAATATGTGGCATGGAAGGGGAAAATGTTGTGGCTTATGGCCGTCTGCCTTTCCCCGCCCCTGAAGACCGATGGGTTAATTAAATTCCTCTTTAATTTCTCATGATGGTCATTGGTTATACCCTTCTAGGAAAACTTTTACTGAGGGATCAATCATTGATTCTCAAATTTAAAAGGGTCATAATTGGATATCGAGATTAAACGTTGTAGTTGTAATCTCTGAATCTGATTATATTAACATCTTTATTTAGTTGTGAGAATAAGAATCGATTGAAGACGACAATATTCCTTCACTACACGCTCGTCTTTCTTATTATTTCAAAATTAATGCCGGAAATTCTAGACAAGGTAAACAACAAATCAGGGGCGTACAGTGGTAGACGATTATACAGTGATAACCAGAAAACTGCAGAGTAGGAAAACGACATTTAAGCAATACTGACGTGCATTTGATGTTGCTAAAAAGTACTAAATAGAGTTACTAGTAAATTATTAAGTGCAATGGGTCTGTTTACATTGCACAATTGCCGTGTCTCATTCTCATTGTACTATTTAAAGTTCTAATTTGAGTTTAAAAGTCGACCTCCTATTCCAGAGTTTTCTGGTTATCACGGTATCAATATAATGAAGACGACTTTTTCATTTAAACACTTTTTATCCGAATAACAAGTTTAGAAGCAATCAAAAAGAAGCTTTCTTAATAGACTGATTCTCTTGAATTGTATGTTAATGTGCACCCATCAACGATAATATATATATAGATATGCAGACAGGTATAAATTTAGAGGTCTTGAGATAATGAGCAAAAAGCACCATCTCTGTCGTACGCATGGCATTTTATCCTCTGGATTGTTGCTAATTTATCACTTTGTTTATGCGTGATAACACTAAATGCGTACTATAGTATCAACAATGTATACTGCATATTGTACTTAATGAAACAAATTAATCAATGCAAATAAAACTGAGGTAGGAATTTGACTAGACAAAGTTAAAATGTGCAAGTTGTACTGAATGGCATACGTAAATTAACGCAATCTAAATAAAAATTATGACTTTAAAAGTACATCGAGTCTAGAACAAATTACAACTGATCTGATCATAACATAATCAAAACGCGTACTGTATGTTTGTGTTACCTAGAAATTAAATTTTATTGGTCAAACAGGTCCAGATAGCAACACTTGAACTATACAGAATGCAATACGCGTACTGTATGTTTATATAACACAAATGCGTATTTCCTACAGATAGCAGAAAGGAGAGAAAGGAATATAGAAAGTAATCAATTTGCTATAGATGTCTCTTTTTGCACATTTTCTCAGAGGTTCAAAAATTAGTTGTCTGCTACAGGCAATTTAGGAAGGAGGTTTCTACCTGCCTGCATATCTATATATATATTATCGTTGGCACCCATGCTGTTTAACAGCAATTGATATAAATAAAAATTGAAATTGAAAGTAGTCTTCATTGTATTGATATATGCGACGACGACGTTTAGGAATAACAGATATATATTTCGACTGTTAAAGATAAAATAATTAAAATACAGTGATAACCAGAAAACTGTGTCATACCTTGAGCCTAAATGATAACTTCCTATTCCAGAGTTTTCTGGTTATCACTGTAGTTAAAACTAGGACGAGACTAAATAGACTGGGACTGTTATAAACAAGCACTAAACTGGAAACTTTAGAATTGGAAACCTTTAATCTCAATAGATTAATCTCAACATCTCATGTGGACACTTTTAATTTCCTGCTTAATCCTCTCTTTTCTTTTCTCTATTTTATATCCCAACAAGATTACGACCAATGAGAGTTCTCTCATTAATTCGCACTTAAGATTTTAAATTTTCCCCGCTCGTGATTGGCTGTTTCGTATTTTGCATACGCTACTCTATTGGTTGAATTTTAAAACTTTTCATGAAACAAACAAAAGATTAATCTAGTCTTGAGAATAATATTAAACTAGCTTTGAGATTAAGCATTAATCTCAATATCTACAATTCTTATAGTTTTCACCTCTGATATCATTCTAAACTAAATACTTAGTTCCATAGATAAAAAAATTAGACAAAAATAAATAAATTTAAAGAAATATATTGATTATAAAAACATTAAATGAAGAAAAATGTGTTAAAAATAGTAATCTATATAATAAATGTTTTAGGTTGATATTTTCATTCTGGAAGTAGAAGAATTGTTTGTTCCTAAGGTAAGATTTACAAAATGATTTCTTCACGTTAACATTGTTAACCCTAAAAAGTGTGAGGGGGGGGGCAATAATTTTTTACACAAAATCATTTTTCCGGCTTTCTTTGTTAAAGAAGACTTTAATTTCAATCATAATCAAAGAGTTAATCGGATAATTTTAAATTAAAATACTTTTAAAAATTTATTTTTTGTTTCTGTTTAGCCTTATCTATGGGAGTGGTGCTGGTTACTATCTGTACCTGTCACTTTCTTTGGACTATCTGCTTGTAATAAATCTAACCTTATACCAATCAGACGGTAAATTATTTAATCAATTCATCTATATAGGCCATATATAGGCCATATAAAGGCCATATATAGGCCATATATAGGCCATATTTAGGCCTTATATAGGCTATATAGGCCATATATATAGGCTATTATAGGTCATATAAAGGCTATATATAGGCCATATATAGGCCACATCTAGGCCATATATAGGCCATAAATAGGCCATAAGGCCATATATATAGGCCATATATAGGCCATATATTTAGGCCATATATACAGGCCATATATAGGGATGTTAATATTTTAATTTTTTTAAAAAGATCGTTTCGTTATGAAAACAACGACGAAAACGATCGTTAACATAATTTACAATAAAATGTTTTTTTTTCAAAAGCGATCGTTTTTTAAAAAGCAATAGTATAAAAAACGATCGCAAATCGTTTTTATAAAAACAATCGTTTTCAAAAAACGATCGTTATTCGTTTTCTAAAAGTTCAAAACGAGTGGGTCATTTTTAAAAACGATCGTTTATTTTCGAAAACGAAACGATCGTGTTGAAAACGTTTGAAAAGCGAAACAAAAAAAAAACGATTAACAACCCTAGATAGGCCAACCATTCGTGATTTTTAAAAAAGAATTTGGAGTCTCTGTGTTGATAAGACGTTGTATATATTTTGCAAAGAAAACGAAATTATATTTCTGAATTTGTATGGACGCTACGTTTTTCGGTATGAGTAGTTTTTAACATTTTTCTCTTATAGACGCAACAGATAGAATTACGATTAGTAGCAATCACCATAGAATATATTTATTTTTCGAGAACACTCCCTTTAACTAGCCGTACCTTAAAATGTGTATTACCAAATATCCTTGGTTAGATTTATGATTGGTATCCTGGTGTTCTCCCTTCTCCCTATCCTGGTTGGGATGGGTATACATGGATCACAGGTAGGGATGGGCATCATGTTTTTAAAGTGTACCACAACAATCTTAGCACATAACAAAATTGTATTCTCATATAAGTTAATTAATTTTATTATGCAAAACCTTTTTCTCTAACAAAAAATACCAATTAAACTAAATTTACTGATACGTTTCGATTTGTTAAATTCTTTGATAAGAGTTTTATATGCTCGGTTGAAAAATGCAAGCAAACTTATATAAAAGAAAACGATTTTGAAATGGGATTAACATATCAGAATATTTTTAACTTTAATAATTTGTTTTAACCAAATTTTACAATATTTTAAAATTTCTATATCATATCAGATGGAAACATTTTGAGACTTCTATATTTCTTGTTTTTCATTCTTTCTTCTTGATCGTCCATTCCTTGTCCATCCTTCAATCATACTAATTTTGAAAATAAAAATGAATAAATTTTTTGGATGTTTCTGCAGCTAGCCAAATTGCAGAGGCAGAACTATTTTTTTGACCCTTGTATCTATATTCTATATGAGAGTGGCCAGGTTACTCTCTCCCTTGTTTGTTTTTAAATTTTGCTTCAGTCATGTTACTGTATCAGCTCCTGCATATCAGAATGTTTAAAAACTTAAAAACTTAAAAATGATTTCCATCCCTAATCTCAGGTTTATTCCTTCCTAGTCCTAGATATGGAGGAGAGAACAGAGGACATTATATACTGGCAGGTAAACAATACTTCCTAGTCCTAGATATAGAGGAGAGAACAGAGGACATTATATACTGGCAGGTAAACAATACTTCCTAGTCCTAGATATAGAGGAGAGAACAGAGGACATTATATACTGGCAGGTAAACAATACTTCCTAGTCCTAGATATAGTGGAGAGAACAGAGGACATTATATACTGGCAGGTAAACAATACTTCCTAGTCCTAGATATAGAGGAGAGAACAGAGGACATTATATACTGGCAGGTAAACAATACTTCCTAGTCCTAGATATAGAGGAGAGAACAGAGGATATAATATACTGGCAGGTAAACAATACTTCCTAGTCCTAGATATAGAGGAGAGAACAGAGGACATTATATACTGGAAGGTAAATAATACTTCGTGGCATTAAAAATTTGAGATTTTGCCACTAACCCTAATCCGTATATCTTTGCAACCTGACGGTGTAAACCTTTACTATTTTAAACTTATTTTTTTGAACTAACCAAATTCATAGTTTGGAATATTAAAAGTTTAAGACATAGGATTGCAAAAATTTTGGGATAAATAAAATTATAGTTTGTGGCAAGATCTCAGTTCATTTTTCTTCCAACCCATGCTCATGAAGTTTCAAAAGAACATTGTTTGTTTTCTATATTTCTTTTTTAAATATAAGCAAAAAAATAATGGCTAGAATGACTAATAATTGTTTACATCTTATAATGATAAAAATGGTTTAGGGTTATCCCTATTCTGTACTTTGGTATGCCTTCTTCTTCCTTGCACTCCAGGTATATTCAATACAAGTGTGTGTGGGGGGGGGGGGAGCTGAAGAGGGATTCTGATTTTTATTGGACAACTTAAGTTTTAATAAGATGCACTGAAATCTACACGTTTTGACATGAAAATTTATTAGAAAAGAAAAGATTTTAATGTCTTTAAAAAAATCTCATCTTTTGTGGGTACCATCGTACATAAGAAATAAATGGCATCGTCAAACCAAGTCATTTAAGTTGACCAAATTTAATCTATTCTGGCTTCTGGATAAGCACAATTAATTTCTAAAGGTTTTAAGATAAACATACATGTATAGTTCTGCATAGAATATTCTGTTATGTAATCAATTATGTAATGATTTATTTTATAGCTCCATTTTTGATTGGTAAACAATATTTAGATTAATATTTATATATATTTTAGGTTCATTGCTATGAATTGTACTTTGCCAACTGTTTAATGAAAGCCTGGATGCCTGTCATCAAGAAAACTGAATAATGAACTGAAAAAATGTTAATGCCCCCCCCCCCTCCTTAAATACATCCCAGTTCTAGTCCTCTACCCACCCCACCTTAGTAGAATATTTTTATTTTTTCACATTTTATCATATTCCTCACTTTTTTACCTCCTCCCCCTACGGCCCTGCCATTCCATCTAACATTTAATACTTATAAAAATATTCTTTTGCGTATACTTTAAGATTTTTAATTCCCCCTCTGCCCCCTCTCCTCTATCTGCTGTCCCAGCTTTTTTATATCACTGTTTATGACTTAAAGACTCAAAAGCCAAACATGGAAATTCATAAATTCGACTATGGAGGGAAATTTAATAAACATGAGGATTAAAAAATGGTAATGTTAAAGCTAAATAAACAGAAAGGATGCTGAACAGGTTTTGAAAGAATGAAAATAAAATAAAAATAAAATAAATTAACTATTGCTGGATTCCAAATGTTTATTGGTTCTCCCTCTACTTCAAAAATTAGATCTAAAACTAATTAAATTACTAATTACTTAAAATAGATGTTCAGATAAGAATCACAAGTTATTATAAAATTGTTAGTTTCAAGCACGCCTTCTAGATTAATGAAATTCGATTTAGCAAAAACTTTGCAAAGACTTAATTAATTAATACTAAATTAATTAATTAGTTAATGCTAAAACTACAATGTAATTTTTATACAACAAATTATACATCTATCCAATTGAAATAAATCTGCTGTAAAAATACATATTTGCTTATTTAAATGAACATAGTGCTTTGTGTCCAACAAAAAATTAGGAAATAACGTTGAATATTAAATATACCAAGTATAAAGGTGCTCTGCATTTTGCTCTATAAAGGACATCTCAAATGAAATATAGATTTAATTATTGTTTTAATGCAATTTTAGTTATTATGGAATGTATAATCCATAATTTATGTTCTTCTTGATCATCTTTAAATTGTGTAAGGTCAGAGCTCTTTCTTGTTTCACATTTTCAGACATAAACAATCCATGTACAGGGTACAGGGTACAGGGTTACCCACAAAGGATAATAATCTAATGATGACCTGAAACTATGTGAATAAGACAGCCTAAAGGACGTTTATACTTAATTAAGTTTTTAACAAGTTTAATAAATGAGATGGCCAATACAGAAACAAGTATGCATCTTCTTTGTACAAGGAATTTTAGAAAAAAGAGTAAATAATTTCAGTACAGTCATCTTTAAAGTCTCATCCGTTGAGGGTAACCCTGTATATATATTCATATACATTCTTTGTTAAGCATTTCACGAGAAAAGAATTAAAAGATAATTTATTTATTTATTATCAATTTATAATTAATTATGAACTGTTGCTGATTCGCTGACCAACTAATTATTGCAGATTAACTGGTTGTAGAAAAAATGTCCGTTGTTTGTAGCATGCTCAAAACTACATTTCACATTCTGATGTATTGCATTGCAGTAGCCTCGATCTCCCCTGTAATATATAGTATCTATATAACAATGTAATCTTTATCGTCGTATTTTATTCATTTCAAGAAAACGTCGCATTTAAAGATTTTGCAATTTTTAACAATTTCATTTTAACACTTTTTTGCATCTAATACAACAGTTTTGTCTTCTGAATATTTTTACAAATTTTTAATCTCAAATAAAGAAAAAGCCACAATCATTCCTTAGTTTTATGATAATTTCAGAAAAAGAATCTTTAAAAATTTGGAATATTCTGAAAAAAAGTATTTTAAAGTGATTGAAATTACTGATTACTGAAGCACGTTCTAATCAATAAATTAAGGATTTTTTTCTGTAAACTGATGTAAACTAATGGGATAAAAGGGTATTCTGTTCTTTTGTTTAATTAAAAATATTTAGGAATTTGTAACTGTTATAACCCTGCACATTGTACTTTAGTTACTAACTTGACAAAGAATAACGTAGACGAAACTTATTTGAATTAATACGTTTTATACGTTTTATTGACCCATACAACTGAGGAAGACGATTGTTAAAATAATTTTAAGATTTGAAAAGTTTAATGAAGAGGAAACACAGGGATTGTACAGTGTACAGTGTACACAGATCAATAGGTTGATTTTTAAGCTTCTTGTAAACACATGAGATTGCTTGAATGTCACCATTCGGTCAACAGATTTAATGGGATTTAATGGTTCCCTAGCTCTGTATATATTTATAATTACCTGCACTGCCAAACAGTATCTATTCGAGCATTATTCACAGTACATACACTTTCTAGACAGACAAAATAGAATAAACATGGTCAAATAATAATTTTATTTATTTAATCTTTATAAAAGTGAAATATTTAGTTGTCTTTATCTTAGTTGGAAAATGTTCTTATCCATGAAATAATAGTGTTAAAAATTCTGTTTTTGTCACTACTCGGAGAATTTTGTTCTGGGATTTTGCTTCGACAATGTTTAATTTAAATTAAATATATTTCCTAAACTTTGTGAAAACAACTTAGTTACAAACTTGAGTAAGTTGTACAAACCAAATAATTATTAAATACGTTAGAATAATTGTCTGAAACTGAATTGAATAGTTTACCTTGATGCCTAGCATGCATTCCATCATGGTTGTAATCTGGATCTGAACTAACAGCTAATACCGTATTTAGAGGTTTACTTCTGAACAAATAAAGTAAATATTGAATTGCTTTAATTAAATTGCATTCTTTCCTGGTTTGAAGTATTCTTCAAGCTATTAATAGGCGCAACTAGGGGGGGGGGGCGGCCGGGCG